CCCCCCCCCACCCCCCCACCCCCTCCCACCCCTCCACCCCCTCCCACCCCCCCACCCCCTCCCACCCTCCCCACCCCCCCTACCCCCACCCCCCGCCAGATCCTGAATTTCTGGTAAACAACTTGTTATGTTTGCAGCTGCTCTGAGCACGAGACCCTCAGGAGTTCCTGATGACAGGGGAGTGGTTTCTGGTGGGTTTGGCTGGGGCATGGCTATCAGTTAAGGACCCTTATATAAGCTGCCCTGAAACACGATAAAGGGGGCATTCTTGGTTCAAGGATGATATCTCTCTCTCTCTCTCTCTCTCTCTCTCTCTCTCTCTCTCTCTCTCCCCACCCCCAGAGCAGGTGGGCATGGTGCGCCGCAGTCTTCTGCCATTATTCCATGTTAAGAAAATAGTTACTGGGGCTGGAGAGATGGCTCAGAAGTTAAGAGCATTGCCTGTTCTTCCAAAGGTCCTGAGTTCAATTCCCAGCAACCACATGGTGGCTCACAACCATCTGTAATGGGGTCTGGTGCCCTCTTCTGGCCTGCAGGCATACACACAGACAGAATATTGTATACATAATAAATAAATATTTAAAAAAAAAAGAAAATAGTTATTCTTAAACACAGACCTAAGGACCCACTGGTCACAGTTAGCCCTACATCAGTTCGAAGCTCAAATTAACTGTCATCTACTGCCTGTTGTCCTCGCCTGGTTTCCAGGTTTTTGTTTCTTTCTTGTTTTTTTTGTTGTTGTTGTTTTTGTTTGTTTGTTTGTTTGTTTTTTGAGACAGGGTTTTTCTGTATAGCTCTGGCTATCCTGGAACTCACTGTGTAGACCAGGCTGGCCTCTAACTCACAGAGATCTGCCTACCTCTGCCTTCCTGGTGCTCAATAGGCAGTTTTGTTTCTTGTTTTGGGTTTATTTTTGTTGTTTGTTTTGTTTATTTTTCTTTCAGTTTTGGGGGTGTTTTGAGGACAGAGATCAGATATTTAAAAGCAAAGTATTGGGATTTAATAAAAATCCGATAACTTAAAGATTGAATAAATGGTGGAAGGAGCTTGAATCACCACAACCACAGAACCTTTTACTGAAATAGTTAGGCTATTGTTTGAAGGTTTCTTTTATTTTTAATCAGGTTTTTGTACCTGTATGAGCATATGCCAAGTGTGGGGCCTCCGCATGGAGGTCACAGGCATCAGAACTCCTGGAGCTGGAGTTAGAGGTAACTGTAGGTCACCTGCTATAGTTGCAGGCAATCAAACTCAGGTCCCCTGGAGGAGCAATATGTGATCTTAACTGCTTAGAGTTCCTGCCACCCTTGTGTTCCCATCTGGTGGTGCCATTTGGGTAGATTGCAGAATTTTTAGGAAAGGGGGCCTTGCAGGAGGAAGCCAGTCAGGGAGGGTAAGGCTTGAGAGTAACAGGCCTGCTTCTAGTCCTAGTCCCTATGCTTCTGGAACCAAGTTGTGAGAAACCCCAGCTGCACTCCCCTGCCATCATTAGCTCTGCATGCCTTCCCCAACATGGTGTGTAGCACCCTCTCAGACTAAGAGCCAAGAAAAAGCCTTCCTCCTTCTTCCTTGTGTGTGTGATATGTTTTTTGGTTTTTTTGTTTGTTTGTTTGAGACAAGGTCTCATTATGGCACTGGATGTCCTAGAACTCAGTCTTATGTAAACCAAGGTGGCCTCAAACTCACAGAGATCTGCCTGTCTCTGCCTCTGTCACAGTGCCTATGGCAAAACACTAGTGAGGGATACAGAGACAGAGACATGAAATTGGGGGTTCATGTTGAGAGGCCATGTGAAGGGAGTTAGAGGGAACTAACTGGTGAGTGGATTATGATCTTATTTCATTGTATACATGTATGAAATTCTTAAGAATAAAAATATTTTTAATTAAAAATATGCCAGTAAAATTGATAGATTTTATATGCATACTCATTTTATGTAACAATATAATCGCATGTGCATATTTACTATATAAACCTATAAAATATCATCTCCATAATAAACAATAGTATGTTGAGAAATTTTGTTCTTCAAAATCATGGGTGGGAAAACACTTTGCTTGGAATTCACTTTTGTAGGACCCGAGCTGAGTTTTTGCTTGTCTGGGAGGGAGTTAAATGAGAAACGTCGCCCGTGTCTGTGTGTGTGTGTGTTTTCACACTTGGTAACGCCATTTAGCAAGGTTGTGGAACTTTAGGCTGTGGAGCCCTGTTGGAAGAAGCAAGCCACTGGGGGAAGGTGTTGAGGGTTATAGCCATCCCTCTTCCAGTTCCCTCTCCTTACTTCTTGCTTGTGACTGAAGATGTAATCTCTCGTTTCCTGCTGTCATGACTCTAGGCCCTCATCGACCCCAACCCTCTGGAACCAGAAGCCAAATTAATTCTTTCTCCCACAGTTTGCTTTTGGTCATAGTATTTTATCGCAGCAGTAAAAATTAAGTGTTTGAGTTTTTGTTTGAGATGGGGCTTGCCTGGAAGTCTGCTTCCTCCTACCCTAGCCGCCTGACCTCCCTTGTGTCTCTTTAATGCCCTCCCCAAACGTCTTGGTCCTATCCCACGTCCCTACGTAACCACTGATTTGCTGTCACTGCGGGTCAGTTTTCATTTTCTAATTATACAAATGGAACCACGCACCATGTACTTTTTGTCTGGCTCCTTTCATTCAGCATCAACAGGTACAGTCATGCTGCTGTGTGAGTTCAGAGTTCATTCCTTTATGAGTGACAGGCCCTGGAATAGTCACTCAGAAAAATCACTCCTCATTTCCAACTCAGAACTTCTCATTAAGGGTTTCAGCACACTTCACACTTAATTTTATCTTGGTCATTCTCAAAGAATTAGGACTCTTCATCTCTCAGACCAGAGCTAGTATTCCGTCCTGTGCGCTCGGTTTGCCCTTGAGTCTTCCAAAGTCCTGCTTCATTTAAATCTTAATCTAATCTTTGTGCTGTTGCAATTTATAAACCTAACTTTCTGGAAGTAAGTTATATCATCACAAGTTTTCTTAATTATCATAAATGCTCACAGCTACACTGAATAAATACCAGTAGGATGTGACCCCACTTTTTTTGTTTTTAACATATAAATGCGTGGTGGGATAAAGATATTGTTCAGTAGGGGAGTGCTTGTCTACCATGCTGAAGGCTCTGGGTTCAATCCCCACCAAGACCACAAAAATAGTGCATATAATAGATGTACATACACAAAGAGGAGAGAGGGAGATGGGAAAATGAGTATGTCCCTGATACCAAATACAGGAAACGGGGGGAAAACAAGACAATATGATCTTACTAAATCATATTTACTTGTGAGACTGCCAAAGGGACTAGCATGCTCACCTCAATTACTGTAATCATTTAATTCATAATGAAAGACCCCCAGTGCTGGGGAGACTCACTCAAGTCTCGGGATAACACGACCCCTCCAGGAGAGACCGTCCTTGCTGCAATCACACAAGGCTTTAATGCTGAGATGAGACGGGAACCAGTGCACTGGGGCCGAGACTCATAACCCACGCAGGGGAAGAGTTCTACCCCGAGTGACCGGGAGGAGTTTTTAAGGGAAGAAACCACAGCCCAGTAATCCAAAAGGGTCATAGAAAATTCCGAAAATCCAGTGACAGTCACAAGGGGGCAATTCTTGGCCCCTCGGGACCACTCCCAAGGTCATAATCAGCTAGTTCCTAAAACAGTAATGATAATCACAAGGGGGAAACTCCCTGTTTCCCAAGATTATTCTCAAGATTACAATCTAACTTTATCTTTAGCTAGTTCCTGAAACACAGTCACTGAACCAGCTAATCCTAGATTTTTGATTCTTCTCTTCCTGCTTGGGGGGGGGGGGCTGGATTTATTCAGGTCTTTCAATAAATCCATAGGAGATAATCTAGAATGATCGGATCAGTAGAACGTCTACCCTCGTGTCTGGAACCAACACAAATATGCGGGATTATAGATCTCATTCCAAAAATATAAAGGGGATTTGTTTAAAAATTTTAGAGTTCATGCATACCCCATACTTAGGTTATGGCCTTTATAATTCAGTCCATAATTATAAGCCTGCAGAAAACTCTAAGAGTGGCTTCTTACAAAACTCCACCCATTAATCAGAATACTCATTACAACACTGACGCAAAGTAGGTCAAATACATTAATAGAATTTTAGTTTGTATTTACCTCAGTTGCTTACATGCTAATTATCATTTAATGAGAGACACTGTTCCCTTTTAGCAAAATCAAAACTTAAATCCTAAGGAAGCCCCCAAGTATTTTTATAATTAAGAACTGAAGAAGCGCCTCATTTATTTATTTTTGGTTGCCTGCATATGCTCTGCAAGCCCGCTCCATCACTGAGCGACATTCCCCAGCCCACCTAATTTCCTTTTAATGCTACATTCAACTGTCGGACAACTCACGCAACTCTTTGTGTTTTATGAAAGCTTAAAATAATATGCCACAAGGAAGCTTCCTCTGCATATAAATACAACCTAATGCACTTCGTCTCAGTATTTCCTATTAAGGCGACAAATTAGTAGGAAAATAATAGTGCCGCCTACGGGCTTGCCAGACTTTTTAATTCTGGAGTCTGACAACAGGCAGTAGGAGTGAATGAGCCAACGGACGCACACGTTGGCAACTGTTAAATGCTAGTCCGCCCCGAAGAAACACTCAATTTTGAGTTACACGTGCCGCGGCCTCAGACTCCATGGTGCCCCCTCTGGAAGCATCCAACCGACCGGTGACCTTAGGGAGAAAAAGCCGCTCAACTCTGCAGGAAAGCGCGGGGAAAGCCTGCTCACACGCTGGAGTCCCTCCCCGCTCCCAGAGCAGCAGGGCTCCGGCTGTCAGGCCTTCCGCTCCCGCTTCCCCAGCTCCGCAGCACCGCACGCAGCCCGCCGCACGCTGCGAAAGGGAACCCCAAGACCGGCGATCGGATGGCCCCGCCCACCGCGCCCACGTGACCCGCATCCCGCCCACCGCGCCCACGTGACCCTCGCCGGCCTCCGCGCGCGGCGTGTGTCGCGGCCGGAGCCGCCATTGTTCCGCCGGGGGAGGACGGCGGGGCCTGGCGCTGGCGCCCCGACGCCGCTTAGCGGCCGCCTCTGGAGACACTCTGTCCCCGCCGCCTCCTGTCCTCCTGGCGGCGGCGGCGGCGTGAGGCCGGCTGCGGGAACCGGGAGACCCTCGGCCCTCCCCGACCCCCCGCTCGGGCGTGCGGGACGGCCGCGATGCGTTCGGCCTGAGGTGTCGCGGCCCCCGTCGCTTCCCACGACTCCTCGAGCGGCGTCCGTGCGCCCCGGCGTCATCCCGCGAGTCTGTGTGACGGGAGGGAAGATGGCTGCACGGAGCTGGCAGGACGAGCTGGCCCAGCAGGCCGAGGAGGGCTCTGCCCGGCTGCGGGAGTTGCTGTCGGCCGGCCTCGGTTTCCTGCGCACCGAACTGGGCCTCGACCTGGGGCTGGAGCCGAAGCGGTACCCGGGCTGGGTGATCCTGGTGGGCACCGGCGCTCTCGGGCTACTGCTGCTCTTCCTGCTCGGCTACGGCTGGGCCGCGGCTTGCGCCGGCGCCCGCAAGAAGCGGAGGAGCCCGCCCCGCAAGCGGGAGGAGACGTCCGCGTCAGCCCCGGCCCCCGAAGACCCAGCCCAGCTGAAGACTCTCAGAAGCGACGAGCAGAAGAAGAAGAACCGGAAGAAGCCGCCAGAAAAGCCCAAAGTGAGCAAGGGGCGAGGAGCCGGGTGGGCAGGGGAGGCCGGAGCGGTGAAGTGAGAGCGGTGGACGAAGTGGTGGGAGGCGAACACGGTCCTGGAGGAGGAGGTGATAGTCAGAAAGTTTAAGAACCTGTAGGGAAGTCGAGTTTCCTGGATGGAAATCAACTCCAGAGTTAGGAATAAAAGTGCCCAAACTTAGAGCCATCGTCTGGGGATCGTCCGCCCTGCTGCATCCCCTTCCTGGAGGCCTGCAGAAGTAGCTGCCTGTGGAGGTTAATGGGACCTTAGGGTGACGTTGGGAAGTTCTGGAAAGACTGCCTGGGAGAGAGATGCCTATCTCCAGTCACGTTGAGACCTGAGACCGTAGCTAGTGGAGAATAGACGGTGACCTAAAAAACTCCGACTTAAAGAGGATTAAAAATGTCCAGGTCTAGACACACTTTCATCTTAGTTGAAAATGTTAAAGGGAAATGGTTGCCCTGTCTCGGTGAATGTGGTCAGTGGGGTATCTAGCACAGGACTTGGGCACGAGGGAGCTGACTATCTAATGTTCCTGTTTTTTATTTTGGGCCCCTGAGCAAAAGTTAAGGCAAGTTCAGCAGAGTAGTCTGTAGTCCGGTTCACAGTGTGGAGGGGTTTTTTGTTTGTTTGTTTGTTTTTGCTTTTATTAAAGTAAAATGGGGTGACGTGACAGATTAGAAAGCTGAAGCGGGGAGAGGGTTTCAAATCTCAGTTTGCCTGACCACGTGTGGAAATGCGAAAAAGGTATCCCGTTTTTATCAGGCCTTGTTCTTTTACTTCTGTATTCTGTATTACCATTTCTCCGTAATACACTTAATTTTTATATTTATATTTTGGGGAAGATCTTGTGCCATGGCACGCATGTGGAAGTCAGGAGAACTTGTTGGGAGTCTTTTCTCTCCTTCCACCACGTGGGTCCTGCCCAGGGACTGTACTCAAATAGTCAGGCTTGGTGACAAGTTTCTATCCCACTCAACTGTTTTACATTTTAGGGGGAGGTGAGGTTTGAGCCTGGGTTTTTCTGTGTAACAGCCTTGTAGACCAGGCTGGCCTTGAACTCAGAGATCCGCTTACCTCTGCCTCCCGAATACTAGGATTAAGCTCGGATGCCACCATGCACAACTGGTTTTACATATTTTTAAAAGATTTTATACAGTTGAGAATATAAAAGATGTGCAACATTAGAAATATCTGTTAGTCGATTTTAAGGGCGCATACCTTTAATCTCACTCACCACAAGAGGGGGCGGACCTCTGACTTTGAGGCCAGCCTGATCTACAGAAAGGAACCCTCTGTCCAAAAAGAATGAATGAAATACCTCCTATTTTTGTATCATCTCTTAACTTTTAGAACAATGCAGTAAGCCAGTACCAGGTTCTTACTATGTAGAGATGTGCTCTGGTATGTTTGAGCTATACAGGTGTGCACATAGGCATTAAAGTCAGTTGTGGTGGCTGTTGTGGGAGACAGATTCATAGTGTAGTCATGGATCCATAGTTGCAGTATGAACACATGTTGGTGTGATTTGGAGGGTGGAGACTAATTCCAGTTTGAGAAATTTAGGAAAGTTATTTCAGGAAGCTGAGTTTCACTTCAAAAAAGAATATTGTTAGTAACAGTACAAAAAAGAAGACTGACAGCTCATATCATAAACATATTTTTCTTGATGAGTTGAAAGATATGATAGGAAACTTCTTTAAAAAGTATCAATGTGATGCCTAGCCGTAGTGACGCATGTTTTTAATCCCAGCACTCGAGAGGCAGAGGCAGGCGGATCTCTGAGTTCGAGACCAGCCTGGTCTACAAGAGCTAGTTCCAGGACAGGCTCCAAAGCTACAGAGCAACCCTGTCTCGAAAAAACAAAAAGTATCAATGTAATACTTAAGTACAGAGAAGAGAAAACAGCCCACTTTGCATATGCATAATTAAAAGTTCTGTAGACAGCATCAAGGGTTAAATAATGTTCTGATGAAAGTAGAACATTTGGCATCACAGTAAAGGTGATCTTGAAACAAACCACATACATTAAGGCCTGTGTGGATTGTGGCAAGTTGTGAAAATTTTAAAGCCTCTTTAGAGCATTTAGAATTTGAGGCGGACTTGAGTCGAGAGACAGGTGCTCCAGGAGTCCATTTGAAGTGCATCATGACACCAGGTGACTCACTTCACTGTGAAAAACGGACATCACATTTAGGATTTGGCCCATCCTTCTTTTTATTTGTGTTAAGGAAGGGGAAATGGATAATAAATAAGTCTTTGAGAGCTGGAATTGAGACTGGATCGTTGAATGTGAATTGGGTGAAATGAGTAGCTTTATCTGCCAAATAATAAAAATATATTGAAGAAGTTATACCCTTAAAACTTTTTACTGTAACTCAGAAATATGATTTACATTCCAGCACAGGCACAAACTCGCTTTTTTTTTTAAAAGCAATTCATGACCCACAAAATTGGCTTTCTGCTTGATTATAAGGCCCCATCCCCTATTAGAAAAATACTGCTTTTCAAGGCTAAGTATTAACTCCATTATTTCCTGTTTATTATATTCCTTGTACTGTGCCATGTTTTTACTTAGGGGAGAAAAAACAAACAGGGCCTAGATAAAAGTTGAAAGCAAGAAAAGTAAATGGTTTATGTCTTACTATGAAGGGGACACAAAAGTAAAAAGCTCAGTGTCTCTTCAAGGAGCTTTATGCTCCTTGCGGAAGATGTCTACGTGGTCCGCTCCTTGTGTGTGCTCTACTTTCACGGATTAAACCAACTAAATATCAAAACTTCATTTTTAGGGACTGGTGATGTTGCTAAGTTGGTGGAGTGCTTGCTTGGCATGCATGACTCCCTGGATTTGATGGCCAGCACTGACTGCATAAACTGGAGTCTTGGTGTATGCCTATAATCCCAATATTCGAAGTAGAGACAGGAGAATTAGACTTTCAAGGTCATCCCCTACAGTTTATGAGCTTAAGGTCATCCTAAGATGCATGAAACACCTCTACCCTCCGAAAAAAGCAATCGTTTTTAAAAACTACAGCTGTACTAAATTAGGTACAGACTTTTTCCTTGTTGTTATTCCCTAACCTATACATAACAACTGTATACATAATGTTTACTTTGGACTAAGTATAATTAAAGATGATTTTAAGTGTATGGGCATGAATGCGGGTGAAAAAATCTCCCCAGTGAATACTGAAGGATTTTTTTTTAATTTTTTATGATTTATTTATCTTTATTTTATGTGCATTGGTGTGAAGGTGTCAGATCCCCTGGAACTGGACTTTCAGACAGTTGTGAGCTGCCATGTGGGTGCTGGGAATTGAACCCCGGGTCCTCTAGAAGAGCAGTCAGTGCTCTTAACCGCTGAGCCATTTCTCCAGCCCCTACTGAAGGATTTTTATCAATATATTAACAATATAGTCCCACTGTGGTCCCAGGGAGCATCAAATGCAACAGTGGTTGCTTGTAAAGTTAAGAGTTTGAATCGAATTAGTGGAAAAGCCTGAGAGATGGCAAAAGCTGGAGAAAAACAGTCAGCTTGGGAGGAATAGGGAGTCCTAAATTTGAATTAAGCATTTAACCTAATCTGTTTGACTTATTTTGTGTCTAATTGAAGATTTTAGCTAAAACACTGAAGGGGTCTCCTTCCTGGTATTTGCAGTAGAGTCAGTTTGAGTGCTCCTTACAACTTGTAGATTCCTGAGCCATAGCTCAGACCTTTAAAGTTCAAGCTTTAGAACTGGATCCAGGGAATCTGCTTTCTTGTACTTGACTGTTACCCAAGCTGACTCCTGGGCTCCTACTTCAGCCCAAGTTTATGGCACTGCAGGTGTACCCCACTGCTTGTCTTTTTAAATTTGTATTCATGACAGGCGGATTAATTTGAAAATCACTCTCTGGAATAGAGCTATGGAGTTTATACTATAAGAACTTTTTTCTTTTTATTTACTGGCTGTCCTGCCTCAAATTCTGAGGTCCCTCTGCTTCTGGAGGACCGGGATTAAAAGTGTATGGCACTCTACCCAGCTGACCTTATTTTCCAAGCTAGTTAGAGTGGCATCTGTGAGGTTAAGGCTAGCCTGGGCTACATACTGAGATCCAGGCCATGGACTGTGGTGTGAGACAAAAGCAATATTTTTCTAGCCAGGCAATGGTAGTGCACCTGTAATCCTAGGATGCAAGCAGAGTTACGAGGATCTTTTTGGTTTTTCGAGACAGGGTTTCTCTGTGGCTTTGGAGCCTGTCCTGGAACTCGCTCTGTGGACCAGGCTGGTCTCGAACTCACAGAGATCCGCCTGCCTCTGCCTCCCGAGTGCTGGGATTAAAGGCGTGCGCCACCATCACCCGGCAGTTACGAGGATCTTGAAATTGAGGTCAGCCTCAGCTTTACAGCAAGACTGTCCAAAAAAAAAAAAAAATCTTTTTTTAGTTGAGTTACTTATTCAGGTGGATTCAATGATGTAAACTACTAGTGTCTATGAATGAGCATTCTATATTTTAGGATATTTTGCCTACATATAATTTTGCTTTTATTGTTTCATTCCATTTAGTTTACTCCTAAATCATGCAACCCCTATTTTTAATATCTGTATATGTGTATATCTGTATATGTGTGTGTTTATGGCATGTGTGTATACATATATATGCATACACACACTCATACCATGTTCTGTGAGCATGTGCATGTGTATACATGCATGGGTGTAGATGACAAAATCAGTGTTGGCTATCTTCCTCAATCAATCTCTTCTTTCTGTCTTAAACATTTATTATTGAGTATTTTACCTGCACATGTGTGTACACATGCATGCCTGGTGCCCATTAAAGCCAGAAGAGGGCAGGGTGGTGGAGCCCTTGGAACTGAAGTTACAGGTGGCTACAAGCCACCGTATTGGGTACTGGGAATTGAACCCCACTGGAAGAGGAGTTCCTTCAGCCCCCTTTTTTGTTTTTTTTCTTTCTAAACTGTTCCTTCAGCCCCCCTTTTTT